TGTCCCTGTGCCCCCGTGTCCCTGTGCCCCCGTGTCCCTGTGCCCCCATACCCTTGTGTTCCCATACCCTTGTGTGAGCAGAGGTGGAAGCACTGGGTGAACTTGACAGTCAGCAGCAGGAGACCAGGGTGCACTGAGCTTTCTAGCTTCAGCACAGCACAGGCTGGGTGCTAATCCTGGCTTGTTTTATAATTTTATAACCAGAACTTGAAGTGGCTGGAAGCGTTGGCACTCTTTGAGAAGTGGAGCCAGGGTGGGCTGCATCTAGAGAGAAGTTTAAGAGCAGATTTTTGCCAATTTCGCACTCCACAATTTTGGCACTTCTGTTTCTCCGTTGATAAGTAGATATCCTAGTTTCATCTATTTTTGCAGTGGTTAAAAATACAAATACCACAACAAAAGCAACTCATGGGGAACGGGCTTCTTTAAACTCATAGTCCATTGAGGTAGGGAAGTCACAGGGGCAGATGCTGGTCATACCATCTTCAGGTTTCATCTTCATACCATATTATCTTCAGAATCGGAGAGCCAAGAATCCATGCATGCAGCTCTTCTTTTCCAGTTTTATACAGCCTAGGGTCTGGCTCTAGAAATAGCGCCACCTACATTCAAGGTAGGTATTCCCACCTCAGTTAGTGAAATTAAGAAATTACCTTAAGGGGTTAGAGAGATGGCTCAGGGGTTAAGAGTACTGATTGCTCTTCCTGAAGTTCTGAGTTCAGTTCCCAGCAACCACATGGTGGTTCAAAACCATTTATAATGGGATCTGATGTTTTCTTCTAACATGCAGGTTTACATGCAGAGCACACATACATAAAATATAAATAAAAAAGAGAAAGGATCCCCTTAAAGACATGTCTATAGGTCAACCCAGCCTAGGTTCCTTGATTTAACTCCCTCCCCACGTATGTCTAGATTGTGTCAAGTTGACAATTAAAAAATTTCATAGTACGGTAATTAAAACATATTTGATCATGTAATTACTAGTATTTTAGTGGGGCGTAATATTTTAAAGTGGTCAAGGATACTGTTGCCAGAGGGGAGGGGTAGAAAGAAGAGAAAGAAAGAGAAAGTGATTTATTGATTGATTGATTGATTGATTGTTTTCTATGAGAGGTCAGCCAAATAGCCATTGGCTTATAACCCAGAGGCCCCTGGGATTCAGGACAGGGGCAGTCCTTGTGGGATGGTGCCCAGAAGGCACAGAGTAGGGACCGGAAGAAAGGAAAGTACAACAGACATCTTTCCACAGGTTTAGCAGGGAACCAGGAAGAGAACAGAGTCATAACTAGCATGGCCTAGGGTACAGGGCTGTGAGGACATAGAAGACGCCCAGAGCAGAGAGGACCTGGAGGACCAGCAGAGAGAAGTCAGGAGGAGAGAAGCCCGGAAGTGAGTGTGGGAGGCCAACCCTGGAGCAAGACAGTGGACAGCATCCCAAACCCAAGGAGAGGTGGCCCCTGTGGGACGTCTGAGAGCTCGAGCAGCCGTGGGAATAGGTAGAGCGGGGAGTGAGGAAATGAGACATTCCTCCTATGGCTTCTGTTTTCTCACTGTCGTATGAAAAGCTGAAGGTGGGGCATGTGGGGCTCAAGAGGCTGAGGAGGTAGGAGAGGGTGTGAGGTGGTCCTCTGGAGACGGGGGAAGCCAAACACCAGTGATGCATGGCAGGGCTGATGGGCACATGGGTGCTCGAGTCAAATGAAAGGTCAGCCAGCAGGAATGTTTGTTTTCCTTAGTTTCTTGGGGTTCATTGTCTCAATAGTCTAATGACCAAAAGGAGAGGTGCAGTGTCTTCTTAGGGAATCTTCATTCCTGCTAGAATGGTTTAAAAAAATAGATTCCAGATGTTGGCTGTGGTCCATGTACTTTTCCAACTGGGCCTACTCGCTGTTTGATACTGTTCCTGGATTAATTCTCTCTCTCTCTTTTTTTTTTTAAATATTTTTCTCAGGTAAAAGGTCCAGGAATTGGGATTCTTGGGATTTCCAAAGGGGGTGAACTTGGCCTTGCTATGGCCTCCTTCCTGAAGGGCATCAAAGCTGCTGTCTTCATCAATGGCTCTATGGTCGCTGTTGGGAACACCATAAGCTACAAGGATGAGACTATCCCTCCAGTGTCTCATCTGAGAGATCAAATCAAAGTGACCAAAGATGGCCTCTTGGATGTTGTGGAAGGGCTTCAAAGCCCTTTGGTAGAGACGAAGAGCGTCATCCCTGTGGAAAGGTCTGACACCACCTTCCTGTTCCTGGTGGGTCAGGATGACCACAACTGGAAGAGCGAGTTCTATGCCAATGAGATCTCCAAGCGCTTACAGGCCCATGGGAAGGAGAAGCCCCAGGTCATCCTCTACCCAGAAGCGGGGCACTATATTGAGCCCCCTTACTTCCCGCTGTACAAGGCTGGCATGCACGTCCTGGTGGGTACTAATATCACCTTTGGAGGGGAGCCCAAGCCTCATGCCATGACCCAGGTGGATGCGTGGCAGCAACTTCAGACTTTCTTCCACAAACACCTGGGTAGTAAGAATTAGGGGGTTATGAGCTGGAGAGATGGCTCAGCCATTAAAGGCTAGGCTCACAACAAAACTAAAAGAATTAGGGGGTGACTCCTCAAATATTATCCATTGTCTGATGGTTTGGCGGGGGGAAGTTCAAACACATTGTAAAAACATCAGTTAAGATTACTTTATCTATGTGGTGGCGCACGCATTTAATCCCAGCACTCGGGAGGCAGAGGCAGGTGGATCTTTGTGAGTTTGAGGCCAGCCTGGTCTACAAGAGCTAGTTCCAGGACAGGCTCCAAAGCGACAGAGAAACCCTGTCACAAAAAAATAAAAAAAGAATGATTTTATGTAATCAGTGCTGAACATAGGGCTTATGCAAGGCTAGAAATGTGGTTCAGTGGTAGAGTACATGACTGTCTTGTGAAGTCTCCGGGTTCAATCCCAAGTGCTGTAGGAAAATAGACAAATGTTTTATGAAAACTGTACATATTCAAGAAATTGTGCTCAGAATAAAAAGAACACCATGAATAGTCACACTGTTGTGTCATTAAAGATTATGTCCTTTAATTCTTGGGGTGGTGTTGCTGTTATCATCTTCCTTCCAAAAAGTGACTTTGAGGGTCCCTTTTCAGATGCTTAACACATTACAAGCAGCAGCGGAAAGAAGGCTTTTGTTGCACACATATCCAACAAGAACACCTGTTGTTTTAACAAAAATCTCAATCATTTAATTTTATCTGTAAAGACTGGGAATCAGATGCTGGGGTGAAAACCTGCTAGCTCAGAGAGGCAGAGAAAGCACCCAGATGACCTTTCTCCTCTGGAATTGTCCCAGAAAGAGGCCTTTCCTATGCCATCTCAAACAAAACTCAAACTGGATGTCCCTCTTTTCTATTCTCTCTCTCTCTCTCTCTCTCTCCACTCTCCTGACTTCCTCCTGCTCTCTATGTTTTTTTCTGTCAACATGCTGCTTGCTCTGCCTCTTGACCTATTGTTGGTTTTATTTTATCCTGTTTAGCAGACAGCTTTCGGTTAAAGGTGTGTGCTAGGGCTGAGCCACACCACAACTAGAAGCAGATTTTTCCAGTAAATAGTGCAATCGATCTTGGGGATCACCGTGTGATTGAATAGTCTACAACAAACATCGATTTTACAAGGCAAACCAACAATGGTAAAAGAATCCCCTTCATATGATGTATGATGAGCTCTGTGCCATGACAACACTTGGGGATGGTGAGCATTCCATCTGGGAAGCCATAGAGCAGCTGGGGAAGGAAATGGAGAGTCTAGGATCCCATGTTGTGTCAACCTTCAAATCTGAGAGGCAAGGAAGGGAATGTGTGTAACAAACACTCTTGTTCCCACCCATTTAGCACACAACAGCCCACTAGTTAGCTATTGGTCTTGTCAGCAAGGGAAGAATGATTTCTTTACTCAGTGCTAGGTTCATGGTTGAGCCCTGCTCTTACAATACAAGACAGGTTGTCAGGAGAAAAGTGTATAAACTTAATTAATAAAAGTGATGCCTTCAGACACAAAGTCTCAAAGCAGTATTGTTGGGGGAAGGGTTGCTTGTTTGTCCCAGCAACTCAGCCACAAAATAACCACTCAGAAAACCATATCATTTGCAATACTGTTTGGCCAATAGCTTAAGTGTATTTCTAGCTAATCTCATATCCTAAACAAACCCATCTCTATTATTCTGTATATTGCCACGTGGCTGTGGCTTACCAGCTAAAGTTCCCAGCTTCTGTCTCAGGTGGCAGATCCACAGCTTCTCTCTGACTCTACCTTCTTCCTCTGAGCATTCAGTTCCATCTTCCCTGCCTACCTAACTTCTGCTCTGCTATAGGTCCAAAGCAGTTTTTTATTCATTAACCAATAAAAACAACACATAGACAGAAGGACCTCCCACACCACAGTCTGGAATCCTGTGTGTTTAGCTGCTCAGTGTGATGGGAAGTACATAGCTTAGAAACATTTTTGGGAAAGAAGTAAGACCTGATGGTAATTAGCTGGAGGTGAGGAATGTAGGAAGGTGTGTCCCTTGGCTTCTCTTGCTGTGATAAAATGCCATGACCGAAGGCAGTTCAGGGAGGAAAGGGTTTACTTGGCTCATAGCTCCACATAACTGTCCATCATTCAAACAGTCAGGCCAGGAACCCAGGGCAAGAATCTGACTGGAGGCAGGAACTGAAGCAGAAGCCGTGGAAGGTACAGTTACGGGATTTCTGTTTGTCACTTCTTCAGCCTGCTTTCCACTACTTGCCCAGGATCACCTGGCCAGTAGTGGCACCACCCAAAGTATTGGGCGCCTCCCCTATCAGTTATTAATAAAGGACAAATGTCCCCAGACTTGCCTACCGGCAATCTGTTTGCAGGCATTTTCTCCACCGAGGTTTCTTTTTTCCCAGATAACCCTGGTTCCTGTCAAACAAACAAAAGTCAACAAGCAGTAGGGCATTCGTGTTCAGAGTCCTTTCTGTTTCCTTATCTGAGTAAGGAGGCTTCCTTCTTTCCTCTCTCTCTCTCTCTCCCTGCCACCCCCACCCCCGCACTTCCCTTATGTACGGCCACGCTACGCTATGTGGCCACAGTTGGACTGGAACTTGATACCCTCATGCCTCAGCTTCACGAGTCCCGAGCTGACAGTGATGTACTGCCACCCCTGACAAGAGGTCCCTTTCTCTGGGCTGGTTTTTTTTTTTCCTGAATGATGTTCCTTTGGAATAGGGAGGGAACTTTGAAGCAAGGTCTTATGAAGTGCATAGGGAGAAGTAGGAGAGACAGTCACAGTAAAATGTCTGATATTCCATCACCTGTCTTGCCAAGGAAGAACAGTCCACTCAGCTTCTGAGACCAGGACGCAGTCATCGGGCAGGGAGAGCAGCCAGTGCAACTTGGTGAGAGTCTCCCGATTGCGTCTGGCAGTTGGCTCCGCTGTACTCTCTGAGTACTCCACACATAACGGGTACAAACATTTTCCATACAGATTTCTCTAAAATTTGCATCAGCCTTTTTGACTTCAGGCTGCAGGGATTTGGGGGAAAGAGCAGTTTTTGCTTTCAGTATTTTTTTTGACAGAAGAGTGTGAGAAAAAAATTGGATATATTAGAATCCTAGCCAAATTTTGGGGTTGAGGACTAGAGGGAACTAGAGATCAGATTCGGTTTATTAGGGTAGGTAGCCTAGTGCCTGATGTCCATCGGGTTCTGCTACAGTCTTCCCCTCCCTCCTCTCCTTCCACTTGCAATCCTCCTGCCTCAGCCTTCTGAGCACTGGGAAATAGGTATGCTTTATAAACATAAGGTTGAGAAGTTCTTTAGTGAGTCTCCCACATTTGTTTAATTTGTTTAATTCTTACTCAGCAATCAAGATTCAATCGTACATGCGATTTTCATGAGGCACTCAAGAAAACTAGAGTTTGTTTGTTGAAATAGCTGGGAAGGTATCTACCTTATCAAAGCTGTAGAAAAGGATCCACGTGAAGATGGTCCACGAGCCTCTGAGGGCACATCAGGGCTGTCAACAGACTGCAAGGCGACAGATAAGAGAACGAGGCAGTCGTTTTCAAATTCATTTTATATTAACCTACAGCATAAATTGAACTAGAAAAATGTAATTGAAATCCATAGAAGGCAAGTATGTAAAATGTACCGGCTTCCTCTTCTGGGTCAGATATCTTTACTGAGTCTCTTGCGGTAAGCAAAAAGTCCTAGGTGAAGGGTCTTAAAGGGTTTGATGAGCTGAGAGGAATAAAGTAAACTTCTCGGAGTGGGGTGTGAGTGATGCTGGAGATGCAGAGGAAGCAGACTGCCACCACAGCCAGCTTATTGTCAGCTGGACCTGAAACTCAGAATTACAGCCCTGATACATCTCACAAAAGGCATCACGTTCACATTCAATGATATTCACGCATGATTTCACTAAGGGAAAAATACTGATATCATTAAAGAAAAACAAAACGAAAAAAATCTCAAAACTATACCAAAAAACCCAAAACAAAACAAAATTAAAAAATTAAAAACAGTCAGGCCGTGGTGGTTCATGCCTTTAGTCCGAGTACTTGGGAGGCAGAGGCAGGTGGGTCTCCATGAGTCCAAGGCCAGTCTGGTCTACAGAGTGAGTTCCAGGATAGCTAGGGCTACACAGAGAAACCCTGTCTTGAAGGAAAAAAAGATGATAGAAAGAAAAAATGAAGGAAGGAAGGAAGGAAAGATAGAAGGAAGAAAGGAAGGAGGAAGGCAGGCAGGCAGGAAAGAAGGCAGGAAGGCAGGCAGGCAGGAAGGAACTAGTATACATACCAGAAACTATGAAGCTATGAAGCCATGAAAGATTTCCTAAATTCTAATTTCCCCCTGAAGTCTCAGATTCATCACTGATAACAAAGTTGTTTTCCTTTAAGTACCAGACTGATAGGGTTCTTTTTTTGAGAAAATGTCTCCCTAATATATAAGTCTTCATGACAATCATTCTGTCAAGTGGACTAAAACCCTGATATGTATACATAGTATTGTATTGGAGAAATTTTATCGCTTGTCTGGGAAGATGGATCATCAGGTAACGTGCTGCCATGCAAGCCTGGTGACCTGAGTTCAATCCCAGGAAACCATGAAAAGTGGAAGGAGGGAACCGATTCCACAAAACCGTCCTCTACCTCTCTACCCATGATGCTGCATGCTCTGTCTGTCTTTCTCGCTTTCTTTCTCTCTCCCTCTCTTCTTCTTCCTCTCTTCTTCTCCCCCTCTTACACACATATCTTTCTTAAAGTTTTGTTTTATTTATTATTTTATGTGTATGGGTGTTTAACCTGCGTATACATCTATGCACCGAGTGTGCAGTGCCCACAGAGGCCAGAAGAGGGCGTTCGGTTCTCTGGAACTGGAGCTACAGATGTTTGTCGGTGCTGGGAATCGAACCCTTATCATCTGGAAGAGGAGCCCGTGCTTTTAGTCACTGAGTCGTTACCCTAGCCCCCATAAAATAAAAGGATTAAAAGAATAATAGAATTCTTACAGGGAAACAAGGAAAAGACAAAGAACCCGCACACACTGTCAATGGGATCTTGTGTCATTTGCCAAGGTTAAGTACAGCTCTGTTACCCGATCCAGCTATTCCAGTCCTAATATAAACGCAAGAGAATCGAGAGCATATGGACATACAAAAGCTCACAAACAAATGTTCATAATGGCTAAAAAAGCAGGTCAACCCAAATACATAGTACATTCCAGGTCAGTCATAGCTACACAAACAGTCTTCCCCTCAACACCCCAAAAGGAGTAGTTGCATATCCAGGGGCTGGGAAGGATAATGGCTTAGATTCCCTGGCACCTATGCAAGTCACAGAAACTAGATACAAAAAATTGCATATTATATTATTGCCTTTATAATAAATATACAGGAAAAAAACGAGTATAGAGAGAAAACAAATAAATGGTTTTCTGCATCTGCATACAGAGAGAATTTTGGGTGAATGGGAAATGACTACTAGTGGGCAGGGTTTCCTCCTGAGTAATAAAAATGCTGCAAAACTA